CTCCTAGACGCCACTCGTCTCGCATCAATCGCAAGACGTGATTGGTGTTCATGATCAGTCTCTTCAAGTCGACAACCTGATTGCTCAGTAGTGCTGAGTAAGTCTGTGGCGGTGAGTTGTCCTGATTCCCCATGGTATTCTTGTGTACTGGAAATCAGAACCTCGGATATGCGAGGTTCGTTTGAATTTCCTCTATTCTGCCCGTTTGGGTCAGACTAAATCATGATAATGATCAATAAGAAATTCCAACAAATGACAGGCTGACCATTAGTTGAGTATCAATCGAAGCAACCGCACTGGTGGCTTCGAAGTAGTGCGAGAGTGGTAATTGTTGGCTGTCCTACATAGAAAACATGCGAATTAGTGAAACCACTGAAAGTGCAATCTTACCAAAGCTTCCGATCCATAAGCACGAGATGTGCTTGGAAATTGACTATGTACATAGCCTTCTCCACGGTCGTGCTGTACCGAACTTTCTTGGGAATTCTGCTCGATCTTATCGCTCTTGGTAAATCTAGTTCGTTCTTTTAGTACAGCCGATCGTCTTGCTCTCGCCCTTTCCGCATCTTTCGCGAGACGGACTGACTTCTCCTCTTCAGATTCAACTGATCTTTTGAGCTTAGCCCTCTTAGCTAGAGCTGCAAGTCGTAACCTACGCTCGTGATCAGTCTCACTGGCTCTTTCAGATGCTGCTCGTTTGGCATGCGCCGCTAGACGTTGTCGGCGTCTGTCAGCATGAGTTTCAGAACTTCGCGGAGATGCTAAGTCCGCATCATTTTCTTGCTGAATTTCACTCGATGAGTTCGACGCAAGCTAAAGTCATAATTCTAAATGCTTCTATCAAAAAGGAATTTGTATGTTGTAAACTGTTCACCATTTCGTTTTCATCTAAGTAGGCGGCATTCAAAGGAGAGCATTGTTGACTTTCCTCAAGCTCGCCAGATAAGGCCTGGGTATGCGAGGAACTCAATGAATTGTATGTGTCAACGGTGTTTATTGCCAGATCTTGTTCAAAAGCCGGTGTTGCTCCTTCAGTATTTGAGGAATGCGTATTCATCTGTAGCACAACTTGTAGCGAAATAAGCAGTGTACGATACGCGTAGAGTTACGAAACGTCACCTACTTAAAAGGTGATGTGAATCGGCACATAAATAGGATTAAAAGCTTGAAGTATTCGGCGTTTACTTGTGAAGAAGAAGTGGTTTCAAATCGCCTCTATATGCTAAGTTCTTTAAGCATTTTCTACACAGCATCTTTCACAATAAACCCGACTGCATAGAGTACATTGATGACCATGCCTCAGTGAATATGCAGCCGTCCAGCGAATGTTTCCGCTAAGTCAAAAGCTGGAACCTGGTGCCCCTCATTTCTCAAAAACTGCAAATACTGTTCTTTCATCTACTGATACTGGAGTACTGATACTGGAGTCAACCAATGTGAACATTTGCACAATATGAAATCAATCAACATTTGGTTCCAGATTGGTACAATATTCGAGAAGTTTAAAAGTGCATATGCGAATATGGACGCGCATTCAAAACCTAGGATCCGTTCCAGCGAAGTCTGCCTAAAATGAAAAAACTCCACTCGCAATGCTATTGTTTATCGACATATCTCGAAATGGAACCTAGTTATTATTGAAGCACACAGATTGTTTTATATAGCTTCTTCTTCTTCTTCTTCAAAAAAAAAAAGAATCGGCAGAGTGATGTGGATGTCTCAAAACAATTATCGATGAACAGAGTAGACTTGCTTAGAATAGAAAATTGCGCTAGAATTCCGTCGTTCAGGCGACATAAGCAGTAGCAGCAGCAGCAGCAGCAGCAGCAAGGTTTTTCAAACCATCATCTTCCTTTCTGGTTGAGTACACAAAAAGGGTTCGAAGAGGAAAATAGCATTTTTTAAATCCCTGCTGAAGGCAATGAAGATGTTTTAAAGTAAGTCCAGGATTGTTGCTTTTTGAAAAACAGCTCTTAGGTGATTACGAATACTCTTCCCCAGCGAAAGTGATTTCGAAAGAAACATGTCAAAATAAAACACAATCTGTCAATTTTTGTGACACGTGGCAAGGACCTAGTCCTCGTAGAATCTATGTTATTACTATAAGTTCAAAAGTCCAGCTTTACACAGAGAACAAATCTTTGTAGAAGCATACTTGCAGAAAACACCGTAGATAATTTGATTTAGAACCTAATAATCGATGCAGGTTAATTGTTTGAAACATATGACAGAATTGATTTACACATGGTAGTGCAACGGCCAAGAAGCATTTTGCAAATGGGAGTTCCAAGAAAGCATAAAATTGAAAAAAACTAGAGCAAAAGGGGCCAAAAATTCAACTGAAATGAACGCAGACTTTTTTCGATTTGCTTAATTGCATGAATTCGGTTGACGAAGCAAGGATCAAAACATTGACTTTTGCACTCAAAACCTTAACATACATTTGTTGAATTTGTATGTCATTTTGAAAGCGAAATTGAAACATTAAATGGTGCGTGCGCGTTGATGCCAGAGCAAGTGAAAAACTGTAGCAAATCGGCAGAAGATTCTGACAAATTTGAAATCGTGAGTGAAAAAACTGGAGCAAATCGGCAGAAGATTCTGACAAATTTGAAATCGTGTGTGTCGATGGTTTAGAAGCCTAACTGGAATAATGTAGAGAGAGACTGATCAGTCAACATGTTAGACTGTACTTTTGTACCTACAACCATGTTACCGTCTTGAATTTTCTGGAAGCTCTTAAATGTTTGCGCAGTATAAGGCCTGGCGAATGCCAAGGATCACTTCTCGATCGCTCTTTGGAGTCAACATCAGTCGTTTGCGTATATATGGCCTGGCGAATGCCAAAGATCACTCCTTGATCGCTCTTTGGAGTCGGCATCAGTTGTTTACGCAGTATATGGCCGTCTGGCGAATGCCAAGGATCACTTCTTGATCGCTCTTTGGGGCGCATATACAGACATGTTTACGTGGACATACAGACGCGCTGACTCACATGGGGGTGCTTGCGCTTTATATAGAGTAGGATGGCGCCGAGTCATGTATCTGCCCCAACCCCCAACCTCTACTCCCCCCCCCCCCGTGCCACCGAAGAGTTTCGCAGTGCCCAGAATTTTTTTCAGTCTTGCATTTTCCTGTTCACACGGGGTCGATTACTCTACTCTTGAGAGTCTCTTCCATTCTTCTCGGTTCGATGTTTAATTCACCTAATCCAATCCTAGGTCTAATTTGATCTTGTACATCCATCTCATTCTAGGTCTGTCTCCTGGCCCCTTTCCGGGAACATTCAGTGACATGGCGAGTCTTTTCATGTAGCTTTCTTATCCCCTACTTACAAGTCCGTACTATCGTAGGCGCTTCTCTTGCAGCTTCTCAATGATCGGAGCAACTTTCACTGTACTTCCGATGGTATCGTTCGAGACATGTTCTAGCATGTTCTCTGGCCCATCGCAGCATTCTCGCCCCAATTATTTTTCGAAAATATGTGAAGCGAGAAAATGACGCCCCAAATAGATACTCGCTGCTGGCATTCTATGAGTCCAAAGTTTCTCATGATTACGGCAATCGCCGATGCTTCGCTCATTTCTGCATGCCTTGAGCTCAGAACATGTTTCGTATAATTTTTACAGAAAAATTTAGCTATTCAGTGTATAAAGAATTTATAATTTCCATAGTTCGGGAGTTTGTGGCCTATTACAAATAAGTTTAATGGACAATTTTGGGTTTCTAACTTTACTATCGCTTCTTACTATAGAACTTCTCGCAAAACTCCTTCATTGAAGTTTTTCCTGAGCAGATGTTTACTACTGGCTTGCGTCTACAAAATAGCAGATAAGAACAAAACTTGAAGGGAGTTATAATCTCTCAAATACGCGATTTTTAAGATCTTTTGGTTTTTTTACGCATGGTTCTTTTCCCGTTTGCGATATCAGTAAATGCAGATGCGCGTTAGGTTACGAAAGGTTTACTGCTTCAGAATGTTTTGACAGCATTCAAAAATATGGAGACTGAACAAACAACCTTTCAAATCAAAACTTTGCAAAACGGACATTATTTTTCAACAACACCTAATATTTATATTGAGGATATACAGTTGTGCTCATGAGTGTAATTCACTAGATTGGAGATAGTCGAGGTCGATGGTACATAGATATTCATCCGACAATATGAGCTCTACGTCTTCTTGAAGGATCAACCGATTCGCGAGTCTTGTCGCGAGTGATGCTGCAATGATGGTGGTTAGACGTAACGTTGAGGACTTGAACACTCGCCGATGGTGAGCTAGCTCCTTTAGCTGTCCCCTTTTGCCAAAGCGATAATCCTAGCATACTGTTCGCACTCGTCGAGCTCAAATGCTCCTCGCCACCTGGGAACCCCCTAGCTTTTACTCGAGATTTTTAATGAGACTTACTAAAGCATCTAATGCCAAGGGGTTTCTACTTCAGCCGGCTTGTCGCTTGCTTCCTTTGGGCGAGCTGGAGACGCTGTAATTGTGGGCAGAGCTTTACCAAAGAAATTAGGCCCGCTGCGGATTCGAATCTGCTACCTTCCTCGTCGTAGTCAAGGGCACTACACTCTTGGCCAACTCTGCGGTGCACAAAATATGTGCGCGGTATCCTCGGCGAAGCGGCCGTCATGCGCGGTGCAACTCCTCACGTGTGGCCACCTAACTGCTATGGTGAATCAGTGGTATCGCGAATTTAAAATGCAGTTTGATTGTGATATTTGAAGTCATTATACAAAAAGAAGCCTAAGTATGCTTGTAATTATCAAAAACCTCTCGGCAGAATTGCAAAATCTAAGAGCAGAAAAACAAGTTTTGAGATGTGCTGCGAAGTTGAGCTGGTAAGGATCAAAGATCGTGACTAAATAGCAGTTCTGGACTGCTCTCAAATACCTTTGTTCGTTGGTAATATTTTTGAATGAGCTATGCAGACTATTTTCCACCTCTTAACAAACTATAACGGAGTATGATTATAATTAGTCAGGAGAATGTTTACCTCTTCTGCATTTATCGAGGTCTAATGGCGAAGTTAATGTGTCACACCAATCAAATCTAGGGCCTTGAAGTACTCTGAAAAATATGGCTTAAGGAGCAGTGATGATGACATGTTCAAAACTTACTTTATTTGAGTCACATTAAACTGCTTCTTCCATTTTTCTTTCCTGTGATGGAACATAAAATCTATTTCAGGACTCCAGTGACTGTTCGTCAGCCAAGAATCTCTTAGCCATCCTTCTCCCTAGAGGGAATGCTCTGCTTTCAACAGATATTATACAATCAATTCAAAAGAAGTCTCAGTGAATGTGCAAACAGTAATGCCTCAAAGATAATACAGGGTGTCCCAAAAGTATGTATGCACTGTTTGATCGTTAATATCTCTCTTCCCAAAAAGTCTTGCCTTGCTTCAGGTACAGTTTTGTAGAACTGGCTTCATCTTAGATTTCCAGTATAGAGCGAATCACCCATCTCTCTTCGTTACTGTAGGATTACGCTAGAAACTTCAAAGAGGGTTTTGAGCCATGAAAGGCCATATTTTGCCTCAGAAAAGAAACAAAACAGCCTGAAAACTTCTACACAAGGCTAATTAGAGCTGCTAATTTTAACTGTAGAGTTTCCAGCTTATTATGATGCTTCATTGAAGAGTTATGCCAGGTAAGAGGTAGCGGCCATTTTTCAATGTTCCTAAAAAGTGCGGTTACACCATTTAGAAAGCTTCTCAATTTTGTGAATAATTAAGTATTGAACTCAGCATCCATAAAAATCCTATTATATAAGTTCTAACGATTTTTTGAAAATTTTTGAAACGGCAGCTTTTTCCACAATGAAACCATATGTCTTAAGTTTCTACCGTATTCCTACAGTAATGAAGATGGGTGATTCGTTCTATAATGCAAATCTAAGTTGAAGCTAGCTCTACAAAACGGTACCTGAAGAAAGGCAAAAGACTTCTTGGGAAGAGAGATATTAACGATCAAACAGTGCATACATACTTTTATACATACACCCTGTATAAGATGCAATTACTGCACTAAAGTACAGTAATTGCATTGTTATGTGCAGTAGCATCTTTGTGTCATCCAAACATGTCAATGGCGGCAGCAGGATTTCGGTCCGGGGGAGGGGGGGGGGGGGGCGGAGGAAGGGCAAATTATTTTCCACTGACTCGTGAGAGTGCGCACTCGGAAAATTTCTTTGGGATGCCCCATCTTTGTGGTCCTACAACCCTTAAAATCAAAGAAAAAGGAAGCGCAGCTTACATTTCGGACGGAATCGAATGGTTGTTCGATTATTCGGATGAATCGTTCGACCGCGAATGATTCAGAAATTCGAATATTTGAAAATCCAAAAATCCCGAATAGTGGTTGATAGTCGAATAGAAAATTTGCATCTCCGGATACTTTTGAAAGTCGAATATTTGAAAACAACATTTGAATGTTATTCGTACTCAAATAATCGATGGTCATAATTCGATCCGAGGTCCATCGAACATTCGAATATTCCATTAGCACCGAATACTCGAAAATTCGACATACTAACAATTGATAACAATAGCGTATGCGGGATGCCTCAAAATTATCTAGGCACTGTTCCAGCGCTAATCCTCTCACGAAGTATTTTGCCAAGCTTTGGGTAACATTCCTGTAGGGATGGCTTCGGCTTACATACACAGCAAAAAGCGAATTTGGCATGCTTTTCTTAATGTGGAATCACGGTAGGAACTTCGAGCATGTAATAAGAGAAACTGCGAAATAAGACATCCAAAAGAATTCCCCCCAAAATCTAAAATCCGTGAAACAGAGTTTTTACGTATGCTGAATTCACTACGCACAAGTTTTCACGCTTTTCACATGTGTAATCGTGTTTTGTAAAGCGTTGAAGAACATTTGTTACGGTGTAGCTGGCATAAGCTGAAAACCATTACGGTTGAGTACAAATCTTGAATTTAGTGAGTGTATCTAAAGTCTGCAAGATTTTCGGCCTTTTTCGTTTCATTTCTTGGGCAAAAACGGCTCTTGATATCTCAAAACCCTTTACAATTTTTCTACGGTAAATTCAGAATAGTGAAGAGCGATCGATGAGTTCCTCCGCACTGTGAGGCTGAGTTGATGTCAGCCTACAATCTACATAGTTTTGGACCTCTGTATATCAATCCACAACTCGAAGGGCATATAATCTTCTTAGAAGTCTTAAAAATCTCTTCACAACCGTCATAAAAGTACGCTTTTTCCATCAGTAACATAAAGTGTCAATTTGTAATACTTTCTAATGGTTGAATGTTTTGGTCTCTCATAGGCAGTCATCCACTGACACTGCTTATCCGAGTAGTATTCGAAAATCGAATGATAGCGGCTTGTTTACGCGTCCAGTACGGTCGATGTTATGAAAACATAAATCGATATGTTGACTGTTCAAAACCACTCCGACAAAACGGATGGTCAGACATCCGCTTTTTGGAGCTCAAACCTATACACACTTAAAAAAGAACGAGTATGCATGCCAGGTCTACACTATTCTAAGCATTTTGTACCCTATATTTTAGATATAGAGGCCGTTAGATAGCTATCAATGAACAACCGAATTTCCAAAGAGTGTCTATTGTTATGGCAAAACAGTATGTATATGTACAGTCTAGAGATTACGGTGTGCGTGCGGTAGATTGAGAAACAATTTGAACCAATTCCAGAAAATTTGTGGGCGAAATGAATTGTAGAAGAGGACATGCGATTCAAACATCCCATGTCTGCGATCTTTACGCGTGCGAGCCAAAAAGCTGCTTAACCCGATAAAGCTAAGACCATGTATGATTCATAAAACTGCAGCACAATTGTGAAAATCCAAAAGAAACAGAAATTTCAAAAAACCCCTCATTGAGCATAACACAAGTACTTTAACTTAAAGACGCTCATAACCGCAACTGTACCTATCTTCTAAACACAACAACGCAGCCGCAAAAAAAGCTGTCACTTTCTGCAAAGGTTGCTACTGTTGCTCTAGTCATGAGCTGACATAAGTACTGAATGGAAAAGACATGAAGCACAGTATGAAACACACCTTTCTGTATATAAATACACGGGAAAGTGTAGCGTTCCTGAGCACTTCTCTACAGCATAAAGTGTAGGAAGGCCAAGTGTATTTGAATTTCACTAAACTTTTCCACAGTACTCCTTGCCATAGTGTCCAGCAGGGGGTGTGAACGGCGCATTGGGGGCGAATAGTTCAACCAACCACATCTACAGTCATGTAGAACTTATAATCCCTTACGATTCACAGCAATCTCTTACATGCAATGCTGCATTGTCTGAGTGAAAGTGCTGTGGTAGACGAAAAGAGTAATCGGCCCAACCGCGAAGAAATATTTTAGAAAAGTCTGATTTTCTGGCGAAATACGAGGCTGACAAAGATATTGGGAATGTAGAGCATAGGTTTTGAGTATTCATGCGGAACATATCTGTAAGAAAAACCCACCTGCTCCCACCTCAAAATTAAAAAATCTTTCATGAAAGATTATGTCAAGGTCTTCTTTGATATATTCCTCTAAACGTCTGCAAGAAAGGAGATTGTAGAAACTAAGAAGGATCAGCCGTTTTACCTTCTTTCATTAACGACACCAACATCAGCGTCCACGTGCAACACCCAGGTGAAATTGTAGCTTTTGAGAATGTGAGCAACAATACAGTGACGTTGAAAATTAATCTTCAGAAGTTAGCCTCTGTGAGCTCTAGTAGTAAATTGACTTTAAACTTACATGATTTTGCTCACAAATTTCCTTGAAATCTGCGCCAATCAACCGCAAGTATGTGTAGTTGTTTTGTAGGGCGTAGCACTCCATTGAATCCATCGCTGTTTTGTACATCTTTTTACTAGACTGACTATCCATTACACTCAATATCGCGATATTTTCTTTCTTGGTCATATTCAAAGTGTTCAAATGATAGCTCTGAACGAAAAGATCGTTTTTCTGCGCTGGTGAAGCTTGAAACTGCTTTCCCAGCAAATGTGTTCCGTACTGACAAGGAATGTCACTCAGGACCGCATGCATTAACATCTCAGGGAGGGGATCACAGCTTTGAAAGAAAGCTTCATATCCTGAATTCGGAAGAAAGCTTCGTATCCTGAAGCTCCAGATATCTGGATTTTACGCTGTCTACCTATCCGTTAGTGCTCCAACCATCCTTTACTATGAACATCTTGAACAGAGAAGCCGTACATGCCGCATATTCTATTACGGTGATCCAAAAGTAATGGGGCACCTTGATTTTTTTAACATTCTTCAAGATTTCTTTCTGATTAGCTATGAACGCCCAGCATTTTTAACGCCTTTGTATAAAGTGACCTTCGCAGGTTATCTTGACAGCACCTTGCAGCACCTCACCGACAATTCTTCGAGTGACGCTTCAAAGAAGTCAGACAGACTTTTTTGAACGCCATCCGTTGGGCCGCTGCGCCTGATAGTCCCTCGACATATGGCATACCATTCGAAAGAGCTTTCCAAACTCTTTCTAATGATACTTGAATAATCAAAAATTGCACATTATTTTATGCAAAAAAGGCACTTTATTCGAAAAAGTGCGGTGTTTGGCGCAGATTTTCAGACTAAAATTCATCTTTTGGACCACAATTTTTGGAAAATGAGAAAAGTCAAAGTAATTCGCATATGTATGGATAGAGCTTAAAAAGCACTATCAGAAAGCAGCTGCTAAGTTTGGGCTTATTTGATTACCTTGATGAAAGAATAAGTAATATGTTTCCTGATACCCGATGCTATATCTTCTGTTCTAAAGTCTTGGGACCACCAAGCTACTGTGGGTTTGGTGACAGTCCCTTCACCTATTGCTGCGCACTTATCTCTGGTAGGCTCACTTGTTTTACTGCGGCGCTGCTGCTCAAAGTTCAAAATTACTCAAAGTGATGAGCTTTGATTTTAAGCGCTTATAGAATTAACGCCATGTGACGGTGCGCAACTATAGACCTCGATCAGAAGGTTTCGTTATGTACTAGCATCTGCCAAAACTTGGACTTCCAATTAGCTTTTCTATTTGAGAAAACTGCATTTATTCTCTAGCTGCCCCATTACTTTTGGATCACCCTAATAGCTTTTGTATGATCAACTAATGGTCCCCGTGTAATATAATAATCATTGACCCCTGTTAGAGATTACTTAAGAGTGACTTTGAATCAGTAACGACAATGTCGGACCTTTTTATATGGGCATTCTTCCCTACTTACAGTAACATCTTTCTTTTACTAAAGGTTTATTAACAAGAAGAGCATTATAGGACAGGAGTACTACAAGACAGGAGTACTATAAGAGAGGAGTATTATAAGACAAGGGTAATGTAAAGCACAAAGGGTGCAGAACTGAATACAAAGAAGAGATTAGGATATCAATACGAACCATGCTATATCAATAGAAACTAGAGGGTACAGAGAATTTATGGGGAGGAAAGAGGATAATAGATAAAGCGAGCACATATAAGATAGGTGTGTAAATGAGTGGTCGATTATCTCCTATTGCCAAGGCCAGCTGAGCCGGCGGAGCCGGCGAGCTCGTTGACTCTCTCTCTCTCTTTGAGGGCGGGACTTAGTTGCTTATATAGTTAGCGAGGGGCGGGGCAAGAGTGCAGAGACCAATAGCGCATTACTCTATTTAGCGCTTTTCCTACATGATTTTCTTTCGGAAAGTCCCGGTCCCCGGGACTAAAAGAATTTCACAGGTGCATCTTGGCAAATGGCGGTAACATGGCCGATGGCATTGCAACGGAAGCAGGTTGGGTTCTCTGTGCATTCTTTTAGAGGATGGTCTTTGAGGATTTTTTTTAATTTGTTGATTTAGATGTGGCAGTCAGTCGATAAAAGTTTTTGCACAGATCGCTGTAGTGAAAAAGGAGTGTGTTTCGGTCTGGATGGCAATGAATTCAAGTGTGTATGCTATGAAGTGGATGACTACTCTACTAACTGTAATGGAGTCACAATCGCATCGCCAGCGGAAGTGGACAGAGTGGATTGGGAATTGATAGCAGCATTGTCTATCGGTAAGACTTAAATTTAGATATGTTTTTGTTTTTGTTTTTTTTTTCTTTGTTTCTTTTATTTTTGGTTTTTTTTCATATGCATAGTATTCTCAGCACTCATCGTACTGATGAGTTTTCTGGCCGTATGCTGCGGCTTTTGGAGACGCCGATGCCGCGAGTGCATTGATGGCGGCGTTCGAGCAGTACTCCGCGAGGCGGCTAACAAGGGAAGGATACCAATATAAGTTGGCAATTGAAGATGAGATGTATATCATTAGATGCGCCTTTAAACGCTGATTCCAAATCTGCTTTCCTTTTTTGCGGAATATGTTTCCGAAAGAAGTTACGAGCTTTTGAATGTCCAGATTTGCCACGCATTGAGTGGCTTATAATCAGCGCAAGGCTCTATAACAACACTTATGCGAATTTCACCGGCTTTGTTCCTTCCTTGCAAACAATATACTCGATACAAAAAGGTTTTCCACTTTCTGGTGTTTTTGCACAGCTTTCCGCCAATTTTAGGCCACCTAAATCTTTACAAATTTGAACTTTTGAACGCCCACAACTTCTTTTGGAAACTTGTTCCGCAAAAAAGGAAAGCAGATTTGGAATCAGCATTCAAATGCGCGTCTAATGATATACATCTCATCTACAGTCGCCGACTAATGTTGGTATCCTTCCCCTGTAAGAGGTGCGGCGAGGCGTCTCCTGGGCCACTGGCAGGGGAGGAGAGGGGGGAGATGCCGGCATGCGGTTAGAGTTTTTTTTCTTTTCTTGTAAATAGGTTGCTGTGAATGTGTATATATATCTGTTGTACATATGTCTGTTATATCTGTATATGTATATCTATATATACATCGGTTATAGCTGCATATCTTTATATCTGTTATATATATGTTGCCTGTTATCTGTTTTATTTCTTGTATAGTTAGTCATTGTTGTGTATAGTGTAGAGGTTTTTTTTATGTATAGTGTAAAAATGAATTATATTTTGATACCCTTGCTGATAGTCATTCCTAGTTTCATATGATTCGTTATTGTAGCTAGTCCTCTGTTGTTATTTTGTTATGTTGTATATTATGTGATTAAAGATTTCTTTAACTGTAGTTGATAGTGAACAAGGTTTAACCTTGTAATATATATTTGTGCGTCACTCAATTTGCAGGATTGTAAGGCTTCAAGTGGTTCATATGGATTATGCGGAGGCGACGTCCGTCCTGAACTGTGACGTTCGGGCGCTCAATATCGACGATAGGAAAGGGACCTTCAAACTTAGTTGCTTATATAGTTGGCGAGGGGCGGGGCAAGAGTGTAGGGACCAATAGCGCATTACCCTATTTAGCGCTTTTCCTACACAAACAAAAAAAAAACACTTACCCGCAATCAGCACTGCCAATATCAAATAATAGACATAAGGCTCTAGCGTAGTCGAGCCACCAGTAGGAATAGTAGCACAATCAGCAGAATAAACGTCCATGTCGTAACAAACACAGACGTAGGTGGGCCCCTTAGAGAAGCAAACCCCTCGCTCAAAACAACGCGAGGGGCAAAAGCTTCGATCAACAGAGTGGGCCATCTGAAAAAAAAAACAATCGATAAGATCAAAAGAATTACTATTACGTACAAGACATAACGAGTTCAGCGCACAAACAATCATATTATTGCGAAATTAAGCGACAACGAGAAAAAGGGATACTAGATTAACCTAATCAAAGTTACCAAGGCAGAAATGTGGACGAATCGGCAAAAACTAATGCAGAAACAGGTAAATAAGGAATAACATGCAACAGCAGCGAACGTACAGTCTGCCCCAATCGGGATTAGGCCGAACCGTCAGCTGAATTTGTGCGCTCGCAGCGCTAGGGGATTGCGCTGCATACGCGCGCTGTCGCAGGGCCATGCCGATTTTGGCCTGGTTAGGACCCCTGCCACGCTATTGCCCAGAATAGCGTGTTAAACACGTTAAACGCACAAAATCAAGGATTTCCATAGGAAAACAGTTCCAGATGTCGACAAATACGATTCCTGCCGCCTCCGAACGTTTCAGTCGCAAGAGATCCCGCTCGTCATCGTCATCCCGCTCTCGTCACAATCACCTACGCTATCGTACTATCTCTCTTCTTCCTCTCCTTCTTCTTCTCCTTCCACCTCTCCATCCCCTTCCCTAACTCGTTATCTTCTTTCTACTCCCACTCCTCCTTCTGATATCGCTATTACTTTAGATGTAACACCTTCAAATAATAATCTCTCTCCTGAGATCCTTCTCGTTGTACCCGCAAAATCTGATTTGAATTCGATTGTATCCTATCCTGTTTTATCTCCTTCCCAAGTTAACGATTCTAATAATACCATAAACCCCTTGGAAGGCATCAATCCTCCCCAAGTCAACGACACTAATAATACCATAAACCCTTTGGAAGGCATCAATCCTCCCCATGTAAACGATTCTAACCATACAGCTACTTCTCCAGAAAGCCACAACTCTTTCCCCAGTTAGCGATTCTGGCGTTACCACAAATCCTCCGGAAAACGCCACATCTTCCACAATAACTATCCATGTGCCAACACCAGCCTCCCAAAGATTTTTACGCCGTAGGGTACTACTTACTGCGCCCAAACCTCCACGTAAATTGCGCACTATCGCACCACCACAACCACGCAATTGGGAGAAACCTCCTGGAGCCCTCCCTAGCTTACTCAAAATATGTCTCTCTCCCAGTCCAGAGCCACACGACCCCCACTACTACTATCGCTTAAAACATGATTATCGCGGACCTACTCAGCGACGCTGTTTTAACCCAATTCCGACACCTCTATGCCTTCTCTG